TCTCCTTCCAGGCCTTCCCCCCCCCCCCCCCCGTTCCCTCAGCTCTCTCCACCTCTTTTGGAAGCCAAGGAAATTTACTGAGTGATATGGATGTGCTCATTCATAGGACTCAAGACTCTCTCCCTCCAGCAGACACCTAGTTCTACATCTCCCCTCCCATGCAGGCTTCTCCCGTAACTAGCATAATGGACAACCTTTTTGTTATGCAGACATCTGACCAATCCTATACCAACAGCCAGGTGTGGTGCCACACAGCTTTAACCCTAGCACTCGGCAGGCCGAGGACAGCCAAGGATAAACAAACAAAAACAAAAAAGGGATCTGAGCGCATGTTCTCTCTTCGTATGAGACATCAATCACCAAAGGAGTTTACAGCAGTGAACGATCAAAGTCAGGACTGCCAAGACTGAGTAGATCAGTGACAAGTGTCCCCAATTATAGAGAACCACCAATGCTAACATACCAGTGCCACTCCTGCCCCAAACCATGGCCTAAAACCCTAAGACATAAAGGCTTCTACAGAGTACCAGTCCAGTCTGCACTGGGCCAAGGTCTGTGGTGGAACTATTTTGGAAACAGAAGGGATTTGTTCTGAATTTGATAAATGCCACAGAACCAGTTATACACTTAAAATGATTCATATTACATTATATGCATTTATCCTCAATTTAAAATAATGTAGATCATGACAAACTTAAGACTGAGTAACTGCCAGAAATGGGGTAAAGAGACAAACAGTAGAATGTGGAATCCCTGAAGGCAAAAGGGGCAAGGAGAGGAGCCTCAAGAAAGCCCCTGAAGTAGAGGACAGCATGTCTCCACAGTGTTGTTTTTAAAGAAAAAATGGGTTGCACTCTGCTGTATGTGTAGGCTGGTCTGAAATGCCTAGGCTCAGGTGACCTCCCCGCCTCAGCCTCCTGATTACAGTCATGTGCCACCATGCAGACTCCAAGTTTCTCTCTTCTTTTTTTAAAGTTGTTTGAGACAGGGTTCCTCTGTATAGCTCTGGCTGTCCTGGAACTCAGAGATCAGAGATGTGCCTCCCGAGTGCTGGGATTAAAAGGGGTGCGCCACTACTGCCCCAGCCCTCTTTCTTTTTAAAATTATTTTCTTAAAAGAGAAAGGAGTTTTTATTGTTGTTATGGTTGTAAGATGTTTATCTTTGGCACTGAATGTCATATAGAAGATACACCATTATGCTGTTTTTTGTAAACCTGAAATTATTTCACAATGAAAAGTTTAAACAAACATCAAAAAAATTCAAGACAGACAGTGCACTATAAACTGGAATACTGGATTATAATAAAAAGTTGCAATGTGCAGTAGTACAGACTAATTTTATAAATCGGAACAGGATGTGGCAATGAGATGGTTCACAGTGTTACATGATCCTGGGCCATCCAGCAACCTGTGTGGAATCACTGGGGAGTAGTAGTACGTACAGGATTTCCCCATGGAACTGCTATCTTTGCAAATGGTGTTTATTCCTGTGCATCTACCCACATTTCACCATGGAGCAGCATTAGTTTTACATAATCAGAACAAGAGTCAGGTAAGACCCCCTGAAAATCATGTACACAGGCATATGCTGCCCTTGGCAGCCCCTGGCCATACCTTTCTTGCTGCAGCCGTGACACCAGAGGTGATTCATTTTCAGGGCTGGGGCACTACAATGTGATGACAGGCTGGGTGTACTGACACCTGGTAAGGAAGGTGTCAGTACTGATACTCAGCAGAGGTCTGACAGGCTGAGACAGCAGCCCAAGCTTGGTTGGAAGGTTATGCAGAAAGAAATAGGGCAAACAGTTTTTCTCTCTCCATCAAGTGTTTTCCCCATTCTCTGGCAAAGCCTCACTCTGGACCTCAAAGTGAGGTTCAACTGGCATGTGTGCGGACATTCCTTAGCAGCTAAGTGGACAGACACCAGGAGGGTCAGCTTTGAGTCTAAAAGGAAATAATCCAAATAAACTGATGCGTAAAACAGGCCTGAGGGCTCCTTTTTCTAGGAGTCTTATGTAGACTTAAAAGTGTCCTGAAGGCAAAATTCTGCAGCCGGAGGTTCATGGGTGTGCATACCCTTGTCTCAGGCTCAAGAGAACAGGCACTGGGCTTCACTGGTACCTTCTGTGGAGTGTGGTCTGTGAACACTCACCAACACCCCAGCATGAATATATGAGGCCTGAGACTCCCAAGGGAGGCAGAGACCCCAAGGCTTGTGAGACTCCTGGAACAAGACCCCAGTGTCAGCAGATGAGTTGGCTAGAACCCCTACAGCAGGCTCTCTAGAGCTGGCCAGATGATACTAGCTCACACCCTTGTACTGTAGCCTCGCCCACAGTAGTAAACATCTTCCTGTTGTGACCCACAACACACACATTCACAACCAAAAGCCTTTGGAACATCATTCAGCAGGGAATGTATTAAAAGATGTTTGTTTTTGCTGGGCATGGTAGTGTATGCCACCCCTGTAGTAGTGATCATTATTCCTCTGCTTTTCGTTGTCCATGGGACCGTAAGGGACCTGGGGCCTCTGCTTCGTGTGTATTAAGAGTGAAGGACAGAGAAGGTTCTGCTGTCTCTCCTCTTTGATGAAGCCATAACTTCCTTCTGAGGAAGAAATGAGAAGGTGCAGGCCCTGGTTTTGGAAAGCTGCTCAGTGGCGTCTTTCCTTTATCTTTGAAATAAGGGTTTCCGCTGTGCAGCTGAGGCTGGTCTTGAACTGGACTCAAGCCACACTCCTGTCCTAACCTTCTGAGTGTTGGGACTACAGACACAGGGCACTGTACCTGGCTCTTTATGAATTCTTTATTTTTTGAGGTAGGGTCTCATGTACCAGATGCTAACCTTGAGCTCTGTATATGGCCACAAATGACCTGGACTTGACCCTCTTGCCTCTTCTGAACCTGCTAGGATTGCAGGTGTGCACCTCCATGCTTGGCTTCATATAGTCAACAATCAGTACTGTGAATAATGAAGTTACAGTGGAAAATGAAGACCAGGACACTATGGGCCTGGAGAATTCACTGGATGCTCCTCACAGGAAGGTTGGTTCCTTGCTGGCTCTTCAGTAAGGTGGCCTTGGACAAGACAGGCTTGAACGACATGTTGAAGGATCATCAGAAGCTGTTTTATACATCCCAGGTTCCTTGGCATTCATTTGTGGGAGAGGCCACACGCAGAGTGGAAGTAGTTGATCAGTGGGAGCACCTGCTGGCCTCGGGTACCACATCCCACGAACCAGGCAGCAGCAGCATCCATCACCACCGCCAGCAGAGTTAACCTGAAGGCCCGTCCCCACAATTCTCAACCACTTGTGTCCCTTGGCTAGGTCAACCTTTGGAACAGGTGCACTTTGTTTTGAGAGAGGAGGAATGGAAAACTTATTACTCTGCTTTGAAGAGTCCAAGCCCATCCTCCTGGAGTGGGGTTGTCTAGCATGGGTATTCCTTAGTAAGCACTTGGTAGTTTGGCTCATTTGAGAGGTTTCTCATCAGGATATGATGTGCTGAGTCAGAATGAGCAAAAGCTGGCCACCCTTTAACTCTTGGAAGGTCCAAGTGTTACAAAGATGAAATGGCATCAAGGAGAAGCCTGGCACATATTTCTAATTTGGTATGTATCCTATATATGTCACCAAGCCCATGTAAATATGCAGATATGACATTAGAGATGGACAAGAACATGGGATCACCCAGCCCAACTGACCATGTCTTCTTCACTCCTTTTCTCCAGAGTTCCCATTCTGAGAGATGGGATCCAAAGGCTTCCTTACCAGTGGGGACCACTGAGAAAGATTTTTTACTATATCTGAAAAAACCAGAAGAGCTCAGAGGCAGAATCATTTGTTGACACACATGCCTTGGTCATTGCGCTCTCAGAAAAGTGCTCCTTGTCTCAGAGAAAATGAAATAGGATACACACATACAGGCCACCCTGGGTGGTACTGTCTTGATTCCCTTTTGCTTTGAGTACTGGGACTTGTAATAATGCAGAGGCAAACTCAAATGAAAGCTGGGACATAAGCTAGGAGCAAGCCTGTTTAGAGGGTTAGCTTTCATTTCAGGATTCCAACTCCTGTAGTGTCTTAGAAACTCCATGGGGAAAGCAACTCCACGAGCAGCTTACAAATGCCCTTGAAGGCTATTTCCTGAGTTCCAGTCTTGAGAAGCAAAGTGGGGGGGTAGGGGGAGAGAAAGAGACAGACAGGCAGACAGACAATGGCAGCAACAGAAACCATAGCTGTAGTGTTGCTGTCTGCTGCCCAGTGGTCCATCCTGAGTATCTGAGCAAGGCTACACCCTTCTAACCAACTGAACCTGGAATAGGCCACACCTCTTTCATATATACCTAGAGAATTATAAATAAAATTTAAAAAGTATCTGGAGAACAAATGCTATGAACTCGATCTAAACAAGCCTATATGTAAATAGATAAAATTATGTGAACACACACACACACACACACACACACACACACACACACACATCCACCAGGACCTCCGCCTAGCACAGCACCGGCAAGTCAAAGCCAACTGAGGTAGGGAAGGCGGGCAAGTCCTCAGTTAAATACCCCAGGGTTGTCTCATCTGTCATCACTTGATACCATCAGTTAGACCCCCCCCCCCAGTAGCACTCTAGAACTGTGGGTAAGGACTCTAGGCACTTTCTGTTGGCTCAGTTTTACTGTGCTGAGCAGCTCTGGCCTATACTCCAGAGTGCTGGACCAACACAGACAGACACAGACACACAGCATTCTGCCTGCAGAAAGGCCATCAATACCCTTTAGGAACAAAAGGAAACTCCTTTACCCTGCAGCCTGATGCCACCTACCCTTGTGCGCAGGCCCTGGGGAGAGAGTGGAGCAGAAACAGAGGTTTGGAAAAGGTTTATTGCATTGTTTCCGTGTGGAAGCACTGACAGAGTTGGGAAGAGGCAGCATGTCCCACTGACTTCTGAAAAATCACAGGGCTACATTAACTTTCTTCCCACCCAGGACTAGAGTGAAAAACCCTATCCCTACCCCCACCCCAAGGCAAAAGCTAAAAAGGGAGTTTTGTGGCGACTGCTTTAAAACCCACTGGTGTGGAGGACTTCACGGTGCGCAGGGTCTAAATGGGAGGAGTGTTCAAGAATGGTCTTCTCTCAGCACCTCCTACAGCCCTGGTCCTTCCCTAGCTCAGGACCAGCCCTTTCCTGTGACTCTGCACAGACAGTGCCTCCTGATGGGAGAGCTAGTCTGTGTGGCGGGCTGAGGCTACCTGGCAACTCTAAGAATGTTGCCTAACATCTACAAACCACCTCCCAGGCTAAACATAAGATATAGGTCTGTGCACATTTGGAGGGCTTTAAACTCCAGAAAAATATATGCTCATGACAGCCTTAAAAATGAGATGATTCTGATAGCTGGCCTGTCTGTTTCCCGCAGAATGAACACAGCTTGATTGACACCTTTGCTGGGAAAGGGTGGGAACTGGGGCAGGAAGCAGCTGTAAAACACAGGGGAATGTAGCTTGCCTGAAATTGTGTTCTTCCTCTCGTGATTGTATAAGGCATTTTTGACCTGGAAAACACATCTCCTTCATAGTCTTCCAAAAAACCAGAGGGACATAATTGCTGATTCAGGATTCAAAGACCACCCCTCCCCCCCACCTCTCCCACCTCACACAAATCATTTTGTACATCCATGACCATGAAGTACAAGGCTGGCAATTAATTTTGAGAATGAGACAACCTGTGTTCACTTGGGCAGGAAGCCACTGAACCAAGGGCCCTTCTAAAGGCTCCAGCCCCAATCTTGCCATTCTTAGGCCTCATCTTCAATGAGGTTCTGAGTCCTGTGGCTGCCAGTGCTGCCTTGTGGGCAGGAGGAGGTCAGGGCCCTCGTGGCTTCCCTACCGGGCCAGTTCATCCACGAACAGCATCAGGGGGTATTCAATTAGTAGAAGGGGCAGGGCCTGGGCAGCACCCTCCACGTTAGTCATGCTGACAGACAGCAGAGAGGAAACAGAGGCCAGAGAAGTGATTTTAAAAGGAAAAAGAGCAGCTTCACTCATCAAAAAATTGGAAAGATGATTTTTAAAAAAAAATAAAATAGAAGTTGGGAACTTTTTTTTTCTCTGCAATGCTCAGCCATTTTTCTGGAGACATAAAAAAGTTTTAAGAGTAGTCACTTTGCTTTGCGTTTGGCCTAAACATTCACGAGAGCTGATGGGACGGTGCCATGATGTGGTCTGTGTGTCAATGCTGGTCAGGGGTCCTTCAGACCACATACTGGTACGGGTCTGCCTTCCCTTGGTCTGGTGTGGCAAAGGGGCTGGCCCACCCTAGAGAGAAAGGGTGGCCAAAAACAGCTTTCATGTTCATCCACTTTGTTTTTTTAGCCCATCTTCTCTCTTCCTTTTTCAATTGTTCTATTCCCTGAAAACAAGAACAATCATACTTTCAGTCAAGCACTCCACGGCTGTAGTTTTGGGAGGGATGTCCACATGCCTCCGATGACCAGAGCGAACACTTCTTTCTCAGGGCGTAAAGCTACCTACACGATGCAGCTTTCTTCTGTCTCATAAGAAGCCTCACACACTTACAAGCCCCCAAGGAGGAAGAGGCAATGAGCTCTCAGCAGGCACCTGGGCCTCCGCCGCCAACAAGACCGACACTGTCTAGTCAAAGGGTCTGTGTGTCAGACCTGAGTCCTGGCTGGGTCAGGGATCTCTCCAAGGCACCTATGCACGAAATGGCTTTGGTGCAGGAGCTCAAAATTCTGACAGCCAATGGTGGGTGTTGGTATGGGAAAGACGTATAGGAGAGTTGGAGCTACAATGACCACTTTGCAGAAGAAAAAAAAAATAGAGAGAGCAGCAGATAAAGGGTCTGCCCTGGTGCTGTCTCACCAGCCCAGAGGGTCAAGAAGCAGCCCGTGGGCCGGCTGGAGAGACACAAAGAGAGGGTGAGACAGCAGGAGGCAGTTGGTGAGGGGAGTAACCACAAGAGGAACAAGAAATTAGTGCAGGTTAGAGGGAAAGCAGCTTGTAGCATCAGTCACAGTGAGGAGGTGGGGAGTGAGGGTCTTCCCAGAGCTCCCTCAGGGAGGAGCCTGAAGGCCAAGGCAGTTCTCACAGCTTGTGCCACTTCCCCTGCCAAGTCTCAGGGGGGAAAAAAAGTTAAACAAAACAAAACAAATCAGGTAGTGGGAAGAGAGTTTCCTTTCCCTCCTTCAAATAGAGCTGCTGAGATGCCAGAGCAGCAGAGAGCAGGGGCTGTCTGGCTGCTACAGGTCTCTGCCAAGAAGGGATGGGGTAGCCCATGTTTTCACAGCCTAGGGACCAGGGAGGAATCAATTTAAGGAGGATGCTCTCACCGTGAGCCACAGGCCTTTTGTTTCTTTCCAACACGATTCTCTTTAGAACTAGACTGTCACTTTACTTCTAAACCTGGAACATGCTCTAGGGGACCTGGAAGGGCTCCCCACATGGGCAGAACCTGACAGTCACATTTGGTTCCTTATAGGTCTTCTGTGGAGCAGCTGGCTCCATTTAACAGTTGGATATATGGTTGAATATACACCAAGGTTACTATGTTAACAAACCTTTTGCAACGACATGAATTTTTATAAATGACACAGTGGTTGAAAGCATCAGGAACCACCTAGAAATACAATGGCATCCTGGCAGTGGACAGCACTGTCCCCTCTGTGCTAGGCCCACAGAGCAGGAGCACCTGAAGCCATCCTCCGTCTAATACTGGTTATGGAAGAACATGGCCCCCCCAGACCACAGCTGAAAGTGTCTCTCTGGGGAGGTAGGTGGGCAGCACTCATACAGCCAAGCAAGCAAGAGGGTGAACCCAGGGCCCCATGAATCCTCTGCACATTCATGCCAAGGCGCTACCCACCCCATCTTCTATAACCCAAAGCACAAAAGTCAAGAAGTGTTACATCATGGAAGGCCAGGAGTTGGCTGTAGGACATGAACTGAGTGTGGGAGAGGACAAGAAGATGAAATGAGCAAGGACCAGAATGTGCTGCCCTGGGAGGCTCAAGGCAGATCGATCTCCTGGATCCAGCCATCAGATCAGCTCTAGAAGCTAATGTCTAGAGCCTTGCTGGAGAGGGCAAGACCCTGGCAGAATGCCCAGTAGGGCACAATGTGTAATAAAGAAGGAACTGTGTTGAAGGCAACCTTCTGGCTAAGGCTGCAGACAGGGCCATTTCCATGTGACCCTGCACCCTGAGCCCTCAGGTCTGACACCTGGCCTGGGTCCCCAAAGCCTAGTTTGGAGGAGGCAGGTACCCTGCTTACCGTCTCATCTGTGCAGATGGAGTGCACTTGGGTCCCAAACATCACGGATGTGAAAATGAGGAAGAGCAGTGCCTCAAAGCACAGCAGGATGAGCAGGATGACTGTGGTGGGAGGCGAGAAAGAGCTGCACTCTGCAAGGAAAGGGGCACGGCACGGGGATTGCAATGGCCATATGCCTCCCTGCCACTCCCACCCTGCCTCCAGGTCCTATTCTTTTTACCTCTAACTTTCTCAACAAGTTCCCAAGAGACTGGGCCCAGCGGGGATTCCTCTTCCCTAACTAGCCTGCCTCAGCTCATGCCCTCAGGTCCCAGAGTGGCCTCCTTAGAAGAAGACTATTAGGCCTCTCCCCAGAGAGCACAGAGAAGGAATGTGTGCTCAGAAGCCCCCAGTGCTGCCTGGCCTGGCCTTTCCTGGACAGGTACCCCTACTCCTAGCTGCCACCCCATGCTTCCTTTGGGTCCCAGGTAAGAGACTTGGGTAGGTTCAGGAGTACCTGGTAGTTTGGGGGCTTGAAGCAGACAACTTGCCAAGGAGGGGCGCCTAACCAGTGTATGGAAATGCCCGTTCCTGTCAGGGACATCTGTGTACCTGAGATGGTCAGTCTCTTGCTGGAGCTTTTACTATTTTGCTCCTGGGTGGGGGTGGGGGAAGAGAGGCAGGCACTCATTCACCTTTGCACTGTAAAGCAGTGATGTGTGGCTGCTGTGTGGCTTCTGAGCAGTGGACTCCTCTGTCTGAACAAAGCCTAACTCAAACATCAGTGCTCTAAGGTGGTATGGGAGATAGTGTTTGAACAGAGAAGGGAAATGCAGCACACATGTGGTATGTTCTACCCGGCAACGGCAGCAGGATGTGGTGCAGCATCTTGGTTTGGCTCGTGTGGGTTAGGCCTGCTTCCTCTGACAGAGGCTACATGGACCTTGACTATGTAGGGAGGTGGGGTTGGGAATGAACAGGGACCAACACCTTGTATGTGCCGGGGAGGGTGGTATGGAGTGCCTCGGATGGAATGCCTTCCTTTTCTCTGGCTTCCCTGGAGCTTACACCTTCACATGAATCCTCTTCTTTTTAATTTGATTTGTATGTATGCGGAATTCTGCCTGAATGTGTATCTATTACTTGTGTGCCTGATACCTGTGTCATATCCACTGAAACTGGTAAACTGTCTTCTTTATGCCTGGATGGGCAGAACCTGGTCTTGGCAGCCTACTAGACAAGGAGATGGCTGTGATAACCACAAGCAAGGGGACTACCTGCCTAGCTCTGAGTGGTGAAGGGTTCTGGGAAGAAGTAAGGCTCTCAAGTCTGACAGTCATGGGTAAGAGACAAGAGCCTCACCATGATCTCTGACTATGACGGCCCTGCCATTCAACACTAGCCCGCTTTCCCACCCCTTCCATGTGAAATTGGAATTGCCCCCCTTTTTCCATACAATCAATTTTGGAATGGTGCCCAACCATAGGTCTCTGGACATGAAGTTTGGGCATCCTGAGATTTAATTTCCCTGCAGTACAGGTGAATGGATAAGAACATCTATATAGCTCACTCCAGCTGTGGGGTGTGGTATATGGTGTGTGTACGTGCGCACGCACAACTCATACAAGATGGACACCACACCCTTCTCAGCTGCACTGTTAATAGGGGTGGAGCCAGGGAGGCTCACCACTCCCTTTCCTTCTTGTCCCAGGCTCTGAGAATTCCAAATAGGATTTGAAATGACAGGATCCAGGCCCAAGGAATATAGAATATTCAAACACTCTTCTTTGAATGTTAACTCAGAGCACCCATCCTAGGGCACAGTTCCTTGAGCTTCTTATACAAAATCTATTATGGGCTCAACAGCTTAGCCAGAGCCAAGCAAGGACGACATTAACTATCATCCATGGGCAATTTTCAGGTTTCTACTTTGGGGACTGCTTTCCCAGCCTTGCTGCCCTAGAAATGGATGTCTGGAGTCCACTCTGTTAGGAATCTGGCTGGGTGGACCCTGTGCATTGGAGGCATCAGACAAGGTTTGACAGCAAGGCTTGAACTGCGGGCCTATTCAGGCCAGAGGTCTTGGTACTATGCTCACACTCTGACCCCAGCTTTTGTCATATATAAATTAGGTGCATTCTCCTATCCTGGAGCTTATGGGGTCTAAACAAAGCAATAATCAAAATAGCCCCCGCACGTTGCCTGCTTCTAGTGGGCTCTAACTGTCCTGTCAGCACCACTACATAGCCAGTCAATCACCTCTGAGATAGTCTGGGTTATGCAATCAATGGCCACAGGTAACCTGACACAGGAAGGAGGTTTGTGATGATAAAATGACCTCGTTGGACACTTTATATCAAGTTGCCAAGGCCACATCAGAATTGACCTGGATTGCCAGGGTTAGCAGAATACATGCGCTTTCAGAATACTCACTAAGTGAGCAGGGACTGGTTGGACTCACTCAGTTCTGCAGATGGCATCCTGCTTGCCCCGTCCCCCTCTTAGAAGTGTGGTGGGCACACAGTGAAGATGTGGAAGGAAGAGGGCACTGGCCAATGGCAGGGCTGGAGAACAGTGCTCTGCTTGGGCATCTGCCTTGCAGATTCTGAGAGTGAAAGGTCTGGGCCAGCATGTGGCTGTTTGTTATTTTGTGCCCCCCCCCCTTCTCCCTCAGTATTACGGCAGTCTTCTGGCTAAATGCTATTCCTCAGCATGTGCACACTTAAACGGAACACTTGTGAAACAGGGAGACATTGTCTGAGATCTCTAAGTATCATCAAGACAAGCAATGACTACTACTACTACATACCCAAAGAAAAACACAATGACCTTGATTACAGTATCCTGTTTAGGGTGCTGCTTAGGAGGGGGAGCTTGCCTGGTGTAGCGTTGGGCTCCACCCCCATCAGTGGCAAGAGTAAAACAAGTGTCTTGAAGCCCCAGACTTGAAGCTCTCACACCTCTGCCCTTCTTAGGAGCCTGTAGTCTCTTGGGACATTGCCAGCCTGGTGCCTGTCCAACTTACTCCATTGTCTGTCTAACCTGAAGGGCCTGCTTTTTGTCGCTTTCAACCTCATCAATCTGTAGGCTTTCAGAAGATCTAATAAATAAGTCTGGGCCTGGTACTGAAAAGGGGATAGAGGCCCCTAACCCCCCCACCCCACTCAGGTCCTATAGCCTTTGCTCTTTACAGCAGGGAGAGAAACCCTGGCAATACTTACTTGTCCAGTCTTCTTCAAAGCAATGCAGGAAGTGGAATCCCACCATGATGAGGGCGTGCAAGGAAATGAGAGCTATGTACATCTGAAACAGGAAAGCAGGGCTGAGCCATTATGGGGAGAGTGTCCTAACTATGCAGTCTCCTTGAGCAGCTACTCAGAACATGTGCTATAGGAACACTTTGCTAGGCTGAGGCCAGAAACGTATCTGTGACTCTTCCAGCCCACAGACCCCCTACTTCCTGTTTTGAGTGGGACACTATCAGCCACTCTCTAGGAATATGTGGGCCCAGAAGAGACACACAGCCTAAACACAGTTGTGACTCAGGCTACATGGAGCACATAAGACCTGCTGCTGCTTCTAATTTAAAAGGTCAGAGTGCCAACTATTCTCCACCTTAGCTGCAGCTCAGAGCTTGAGGTCACCAGCAACACTGCCTTCTTGAGCTATGTGGGACTAATGCTTGAGTGATACCCAGAACACAGCACTTGCCCCAGCTACTCAAATCAGCTTCACAAGAACAAGCAAAGGACAGTTGTTGAGCCAGAGAGATCCAAAGTGAGAAGGCAGTGTTCTCAACAGCAGCAAAAACTGCTAACAGTGCTGAGATTTTCCAAAGAGCAAGAGTTCCACTGCCTTGTGGAGGCGGTGTGGAATTCAGACGCTGACTTACTGTAAACAGGACGAAGTACTTCTGGTTGTTCTCGCCCACACAGTTGTTGACCCAGGGACAGTGGTGGTCCATCTTGCGAATGCACCGTTTACAAACACTGAAATGACCACAATTCAGACTTTCAGCAGGAATTATCAGCACGCACAGTTTGAAAACCACTACACAAGTAATGAGCGTCTTCCACCCTACTTTCTAGTGCATGCTTGCATCAGCAAGGGCTCTGGGATAACCCAGAAGAGCTGTGTGTGCCTCCAGCTCCACACCTCTGGATACCAGCAGTAGTGGCACTGGGTTTGTGCTCGAAGTCTGGAAGGCAGAGCCAGGACCTCCAGGGTCAATCATTCCCCACAAGGGGTCAGAAGCTTTCTGAGGCATCTGCACACAATAATAGGCCGGAGCTGGCTGGCCCAGGTAAGAGTAAGATGAGTTTGGGAAATGTTACTATAAGACAGGACATGGGGGGTGGGGGGGTGGCAGAAGTTCTAGAAGCTCTGACAAGCACTAGCAGAGATACAGTATACTTTTTCAAGCTATAGGAACTATAGTAGCTTGGCAGCCTTGGGTCTGCTGGGCTCCCTCAGTCACGCAGGTGTGGGTTCCTATCAGTTTGTCTCAGGTGATCAGAGGTTTCATATTCCTCTTGCTCTTTCCCATCATTGCAAGGGCCTCTCATGATGCAGGCATGCTGCCAACAGGCAATGCGCAGAAATGCTAGCCTGCTTCCATGATCTCCAGGAGCAAGAAGGCAAAGCAAGAAAAGGAGGTCCTACATGGACGCAGAAGAAAACAGTCAGGACCAGCAACTACACCACTGGTCTGTCTTTTCTGCCTTTTTTTCTGTTACCAGTTCTAAAACACACACAAAACACATGTGAAATTATGTACATGATACATTAACACCCCCCCCCCAAAAAAAACAAGGTTTGTTTGTATAGTCTTGGAACTTGCTCATAGACCAGGCTGGCCTCAAACTCAGAGATCCACCTGCCTTTGCCTCTCGAGTGCTGGGATTAAAATTGTATGGTACCAGGCCTGGCCTTCCCATACATCATTTTAAAGCAGACAAGTAGTGTAGAGCAGTCTGTTTGCTGTGTCATAGGCCTCTGCTTCCCAGGGATGGAGTGACTCACCACAAGCTACTTCTTATCTTATGAGCATGTCTTCCCATACAATGAGCTCTAGGGTCCTTAATACTCTTCATCTGCGGAACAAACGCAAGAGTATCCGCTCCTTGTCTAGGCTCCTGAGCAGGTCCTCTTCCACCCTTCCTATTTCTAGGGAGGCTCTCAAGTGCATGCTCCAGTTAGTGAGGGCTCCACTGTAGAGATACCAAGTGGCCTCTGGCTCTGTAGGCTACAGAGATTTTAAACAAGTTCTCACAGCAAACCGTTCTTCACACTATGAAGACACCAGGTAGCTGGGTTTCACAAGGGGCTAAGGTGCACTGGGCAACCAGGTTAGATAAACACATGCTTGAGGAACAGGGAAAGTGACTACAGTCCTTCAGGGTTGCGTAAGTGGGTGGGTCCAAACTGTTTCCTGTTTTCAAGGATATCAAGTGCCAAAACAGCACTTCTCTTCTCCTTGGGCCAGAATGCTTCATACAAGGCAGGGCTCGAGGGCCCAAGGCTATGGAGGCTGAGGGTGAAACAACAGTCACTGAACATACCAAATGCTCTATCTGGAGGAATTTTCCGGTGCTGTGCTTTCTAGATTCCCCTCACTCTTACCTTTTATACCACTGCCTGTTTTCAGCACCCAAATCCTAGGAGACCTTCACAAGCTCTTTGGTTTATATGCATTTACACCTCTTCTCTTGGGTTAGGTTCCATCTCCAGGAGGCATAAGCACCCATCATAGCCATTAAGCAGCTAGCCTAAGTTCTCTCACCTATCCTGGGTGCTGGGCCAACATTAGAGACACAACCATGATTCACAGGAACTCTCCCTCTCTCCTTGCAGCACCACTTACTACACTGCATAAGTATGCCTGCCCTGCCTGGACTATTTCTAGCCCACCACTCTAAGCTAGAGTTGAGGCCACAGCTTAGCCTGGCTGGGTCTGAGCATGAAGGCTAGAGCTCAGACAAGATAAGCAGACCTAGAAAATGGGCGGAACCACACGGACTAGGGTGAGACCTAAGGGGCCATGGTTTCATAGACAGGTTTTCATTACACATCTCACTGATTGACAGAATTGTAAGCAAACTAACAGGATCCTACACTCTAGCCTAAAACAGTTCTGAGGAGGAGACAGTGCAGCCAAGGGAAGAACAGAACAGGGATCTGAGGCTCCCCATAGGTCACATGAAGATATGTTTGGTGACTGTGAGGACTGGGAGACTAAGCAACAGGAGTCTGTCAGGCTTCTAAGAAGCTGATGAGGGCTCAGCCTCCCCCCCCCCCCCCCCCCCGTGTGTGTGTGTGTGTGTGTGTATGTGTGTGTGTGTGTGTGTGGTATAGGGCGCATGGGGTGTTAGAGGCCCAACCAAGACTCTACCTTCCCTGGGAACCTATCACATTGCCCAAGGCCTTGGCTCTACATTAACATACACCCCTACAGGGTTTCCACATGCTTCCCTGGCCCTTACAAATGGGAGGACTCTAACAGAATGAAAGTAGCCTGGGGTTATGGGGCTTCTCCTGGAGGGAAAGGCCCACCTACAGATGCAGGGCTAGAAGACATACTCTATCTAGATCAGTGGTTCTCAACCTGTGGGTCACTATGTGTGATATGTTGTTTATGATCTAACAAATAAAGCTGGCCTGAAGATCAGAGTGCAAAGCCAGTAACACTAGTTAGCCATAGAGGCCAGGCAGTGGTGGCACACACCTTTAATCCCAGGACTCAGGAAACATAGGCAGATGGATCTCTGTTAGTTCGAGGCCACCCTGAGCTACATGAAATTGATCCAGTCTATAAGAGAAACATAGCTCACACAAAGGTGATCTCAGTACTAGGAATCCCACGCCTTTAATGCCAGCACTAGAGAGGAACATAAGGCAGGAAGAGACAGGAGCTCAGTACAGTCTAAGGTTTGATGGAGGGCAGTTCAATCTGAAGATCAATGCAGTCTGAAGATGCAATCCGAGGACAGGATCGCCTTTTCCATCTGAGGTGGAGGTAAGGCTAGTGGCTGGCTGATTTGCTTCTCTGATCTTCAGCTTTAACCCCAGTATCTATCTCTGGGTTTTTATCATTAAGACCAACTAGAATTCATGCTACATCTGGAGCCCAACTTTTGGGGTACAAATTCACGAAAAAGCCGTTTGCTGGTGGCTCCGAAGCACATGTGGCTGGAGTCACTGCCCAGCCTGCTAGGCTTTCATTTCTTCTCTCCTGGTGGCATTCCCTAAACCCCCTTCTCAGGCTGCTGCAAACCAGGCAGCTGCCTTGAAATCCAGTCAGGCTTTTACTGTTCTACACGACATCATCAGTCTCACATCTTCACCGTCAGGGTTGGCAGATTTGTTGAGAAAACTGGGAATTCTTAAAGGGAGGAATCAGTTAAAAAAGTGTTTTTCCCCCCACATTAAAAAATAGGAAACACTATTACAATGGAGAGCTAGGTCTCTGTATGATTACACAATGGTTTAAAATTGGAATAATTAAATGATTTAACTTAACTGGGATTGACATTATCATTCTGGTAATCCTTGCGGTTGGTTTGATAATTCTTGGCTTACCTCTAAACAAGTTGGTTGATATGAGTGCCAAGATACAGGCCATAGAAAAACTTATTAGAACAGATCACAGAGATATTCAAACCCAGACAGAGGAATTTAAAGGAGAACCAATTTTAGTGTAGCATTATAAGGTCAGAGAGGAACAGCAAAAGGTTTTCAAACAACCAACCTTAACATATTCAGTAAATTTACAGGAATTGCCAAATGATAAAGGCTCTGTAAGAGCTAATTGGACTCCTGTGGAATGTTAGATTTAAGAAGATTCAGGAAAGTGATAGTCTCATATGGCATGCATTCACCATTTGTGGCAACTTGCAACAGAATTATCCCTAAAGATTGGAGAGACTTGGTTAAAGCTGTTTTAGAGCCTGATCCTCAATTTCAGTGGAGTGCCTGGTTCCAAGGAAAGGCTAAGACAACTGAAAAATAGAGAAGAGCTGGAGGTATGGAAATCTCCCAAAATCAACTTCTTAGAGAAGGAGATTGTGCTACTATAGAAAGCTAATATCTCTCTATGTGATGATCACGCCCTGGCTTTATGCCACGAAGCAGCACAGGGCCAGAAAGAAACCTTCACTGATTGTGGCAAACAAGTTCACTTTAAAAGGGACTATAAACAGGGCGATCCTGGAAACAATGCTTTTACATAAGCATAATTCACGCAGAACGATCCTCCCTTCTGGATTATACAGAAGGTGTGGCAAAGAAAGGCATAGGACTGATGAATGAAGATCAATAAGGGACATTCAAGGTAACCTTTGCAGTCGGGAAACTCCTTAGGGGCCTTAGAGAGGTCCCTATGCCTAATTTGGTTCAGTCATTTACTGTCACCATGGAAACTCCTTCCCAGAGCAATGAAAGAACTTAATGCCCAGTGTACGAAAACATACTGCTCCGGATGATAAAACAGCTATAGAAAAAAGAACAAAAAATTCAGGAGAAACCATAAATCAAAATTGATAAAAATTAGACTAGGAACTTCCCAAAGTTAGGGTTGGGGAAGGGTTTTTGTCTTTTCAGGAAAATAAAAAGAAACACTTGGAGGAGTTTGAGATCTTTAAACAAATAAACAAGCATCGAAAGAAGGGAGAACTACCCAGAAAAATTGACCAAGAAAAGAAATAATGGACTGAATGCCAACTCTGAAGTCTCCAAAAAGAAGATGGAACACAACAATGACAATTCTACCAGGACTATGACAACACCACTAAGCTGAAAAACACCACTAAAGATTGGCTTTGGATGACAAACTGCTCACAACTATTTCGAAGTGGTTAGCTGAGATGATCCAGCCTCACAGACGACTCCATCTAGGACTTGAGACAAGACTGCACTTTCCCTTTTTGCAGAGACTGGACAACAAATGATACAGCTATCTCTCAGGACTTGATAATTAACCCAAATTTTTCTTCTCAGGATCCCCTAAAGATACCATTGCCCAAGTAAATTTAAGAATACGATGCCCACATCCCCAAGAGGTGGGGTGGGTAGTTTTTGGTCATTCAAAAGGCTATGGATATTTGTCATTGTTTAGGGGGATTGGTTACAAGTTGTTATTGGTAATGGTTAGGAAAAAAACTAAACAAAGGAAATTAGATTCAGGATTCTTGTTTTGAAAAGAAAAAAGGGGGATACAAATATAATAGGATGAAAAGGTAGAATATTGAATCTACTATAAAACAACTACTAGTTTTTAATATTTTACATTGGGTTGGCCTTTCGTATATTATATTCAAATTTTGTACATTGACACAAATTTGATATTAATTTTGTCAAAATATACTGTACTCACATTCTCATTCTCTCTCTCTCTCTCTCTCTCTCTCTCTCTCTCTATCTGGTTTTTCAAGACAGGGTTTCTCTGTGGCTTTGTCGGCTGTCCTGGAACTCTCTCTGTAGACCAGGCTGGCCTTGAACTCACAGAGATCCAACTGCCTCTGCCTCCTGAGTGCTGGGATTAAAGGCATGCACTAACCAACATACATTTCTAATCTTGTTCAAGGTATTGTACCTATACAGCTCATTTATCAATGTAATACAAATTTCTAGTCCTTGAAAGTTATTATTATCAACTGTTTAGGATAATAAGGAAATGCAGGTTGGTAATTAGTCACCTATTACAATAGAACTTGTAGTCACATTAGGAATGTTTCCAAGGTCAAACATATTTTAGAAAGACAGGTTGTCTTCAAACACTTCAGAGATCTACAGAATATGGCATTTAAGATGTTTTAATAACACAGGCTCACAGAGGGGAAAAGTGTGTCCCACAGAGACACAAACTCAGCCTGAGAACTGCACTGGACTTAAAACACTAAGTCTCCAGCTTCAAGGTCAGGCTCCTTGGGTGGCAGAAGGGTAATAAATGTCATCTCACGAATAAGTTGCAAACCCCAACAGACCTCAGAGGCAAATTAACTCAAGACAGAAGTCCTCAGTAAAAGCAAAGCTTCTTCTCAGTCAAATGCTTACACAGCTGCCATTGTGTGAGTCACTTTCAAACTGGAGTTCTAAGTAAAGCCAGAGCCCCACAAAGACAGAGCCAGAACCAGCAGGATCCATTTGCTGTGTGACCTTAAAGCAGTCACTTGACACCATGAGGCTAGCTTCCCATCTGGGACAGCGCCCATCCAGCAGTATCTTATCTCTGCAGTGGCCATGAAGATGGAAATAAGATTGGTGATAAGGACAGAGGGTAGACTGGGGTTCTTGGAAATAGCAGGGACTGGGGATCTGACTGACATTTGGGTGACAAGAGACAGCTTCATACAGCTGCTCAGGATAAGACCTTTCAGCCACTCAGCGATCTCTTGCTCATGCACGACCTCTCTCCCTGCAGTGTCTCAGGCTAGCAAAGCTCATTCCTCCAGACCCTCCTCACTCCAAATACATAGTATATTGTAAAGGGGCCAAATGACATTGGAGGTCTCTGTCATTTTCCTCTTATAGATCCCTTGTAATGAGAAAATGCAATTTTGAGCAAGATGTCTTCTCATCAAGAAGACTCAAAGAACCTTGATGGTACAAAGGGAATGCCTGTAACAGCTCAGAGGGAAGAGACTTCTGCTTGAGAACTGTCCTTGTCTCTCTTCAAGTGTTGCTTCAAGGCAAGCCCGAGCGATGCCTTTGCCTCAAGTACTGTGCGCTCACTGCCAAAGCTGTGAGATTATCAGGAGATGGGGGGAGTCCCTCGACCTTGCAGACACTGAAACAGGGGCAGCCTCCGGCGTCCCTCATGCAGTCAAATGCCTTTTCCATCCCAGTGGTCACTCCTTGCCTGCTAGGGACACTCAGAAGTCCCGGTGCTGGCCTGGGCTGAGGAGAGTGCACGGTACCTGCAGTGGTGGGCTCGGTCGGGCTTGATGCTGCAGCACTTGGGGCACTTGTACACCACCTGCCCAGGCTTCAGCTGGAGGCTCTCGATGAACTCTTTAGTGGCATTTCCTTTGGGCACTGCCCCCTAAGAGAAGAGGGAAGGCATCAGGGTCAGCTGTCACTGTGCAGTGGAGGCAAACACATCAAAGTCCACATGCATGGCCTCTGCGTGCCAAATCACCTCAACACAAAGAATTTCCCCAAGGAACTGCTACTAGGCCACACTGACCCCATGATTAAGCTTACTTTCATTTGCCAACACTGTGTTTGCTGATGTATTCTTCCCTCCTGGGAATATCACAGTAGTCGTCTGGCTCTCTGACTATTCTGGTTTCTGGGAAGAGCACTGCCTTTGGGAGAGTCTTCCCATGCCAAAACCCGCTGCTTGACATTCCCTGGGCTCTGTTTTGCTTTATCTCTTTTTTACCTGTGTGATGATTCTGAAGGATGGCCATTCTGTATTCAGTAACAGGAGCCATGGCCTGTGATGTGAATACACAAGGTAATACACAAGTACTTGGAATGTTGGGTTCTAGAGCACCCATCTGGACAGAAGGACACACAGAATATCAACTTGAACAGGATCTCAACAGTCAATATCACCAAGTACCTACGTAGAGCTAAGCCCTGGGCTCACCGCTCATCACTATGGACTCAGTCTCCAGGACTCACATTGTTTTCCTCCCATGGGCCCCATTCCTGCTCACCTCTCTGACAGGTGCAGGGGTTTGTGTGCTGTAGAAGTTACCGTGTTAAGGGATCAGAGGAAGCCAGGTAGTGGTGGTACACACTTTAATCCCAGCACTTGGGAGGCAGAGGCAGGTGGATCTTAGAGTTCAAGGCCATCCTGGTCTACAGAATGAGTTCCCAGACAGCTAGGACTACTCAGAGAAACCCTGTCTTGAAAAACCGAAGGAAGGGAGGGAGGGAGGGAGGGAGAGGCAGAGACAGAGACAGAGACGGAGAGAGGGAGACAGAGGAAGCAGCAGCCAATAACTAATGACCACAGCACAGAGGCTTTAAGACAATAATGTCTACAGGCCACTAGAAATGGGAGGGCACACACACTCCAGATAGAGACATGGGAAAAGGGGAACTGCAGAGCCCACGCCTGGCCACAGGCTGGGAGGGGTTTCTTTCTAGGTGGCCCAGAGCCATCAGTGTACACCAGCAGAAGCTTAGGCCCCTGTGCTCAGTGAGCCAGATAAGAAAATGGACGGACAGAGTGACTATTGATGGTTCACTAAGGACACAGCAGGAGTTTAAGGGAACCTCAGATACCAGTCATGACAAAGCATCTAGAATAGAACTAGCTTCAGCTGTGGCTGGGGTGATGACAGGAGGAGGAGAGGGAAATGCTACCAAGGGATGAACTTTCAGCTGCTAGTAAACTTGTAAGCCATGAGGAGAGTGCCAGAGAGGCATGGTGGAAAGGAGCTGACCAGGACAGCCAGTGTCAGCCATGTCTCAGGCACCCATAGAACACCCAGGAAAAAGTGTCCAAGCAGGATGGCTGGGAACACAGGTCAAGCAGAAAAGAGCAGTCAGTGGCACAGCACAGGAGCACTGACTGGGCCTGCTTTAAGTCTAAGCTCCACACTTGACAGTGGTGTGGCAACAACCAGTGCCCTTACAGTGTCTTTGCTTTCTAATAGTGAGCCAAGACCCAGTTATCCAATGCCTGGAACGATGGTGAGGGCTACACACACAGCAAGTGTATGGGAGGCACTCGGACGTAGCTGAACAGCCGTGAAGCTCTGTCATATGCCCAGACTCTAAGCAGTTCTGCTGTGCAAAGATAGCAAGGAGCAAAGCCTGGACACCTATGCTGCACAACAGCTCCAATAAGGACCAGAGAGTGTGTGGAGGAGGGGCTTCACACAGAGCACCTCTCCCCCTCCCCCTAAAGCTGGCCAAACTTCATCAGGTCAGTGAGGCAGAAGGGACAAGAACTGATTATCAAGGTCTAGCCTATGAATTTTAGGAAGGGGATAACCAGTTAAGAAATACCAAGACGCATGCAAGTTGTAGTTTGCTTTTGGCAAGAAGATATTTCACAGGAAACAGACTCCAGCTAACGTGACTGTAGACACTGACTAAGCAATAGTTCTTTCTACACTGCAAACAGAAGCTATGATGGGGGCTGTAGGATACACAGACACAGATGCAGGCTGGGGAAGTACTTAGTGAAGGCACCAGCCCCACAATTCGCTGTAACCCTTAGAGGCCATTCAGGGCTGCCAGAGGAAGCCCCTTTGTAAGGGTAACGGGAGTCTCGTGTAATATGCCTATTATTGTTTATTAGTCAGCTGACAATTACAGCCTTCCTGAAAGTGTGCCTCTCTGGAGTACCTCCAATTACAAAACCCTCCCAGAAGTCTTGTTCCCTTCAGGGCAAGACTCCACTTGCCCAGCCACCTGAGCCAGTCCCAGCAAAGAACCAGCTGCTGGCCTCATTTTATAGAAGTGAGTGGAGCAGAGTCAGACAATGCCTAAGACAATGTGGTTAAGGGGCAGCAGACTTAGGATCCAGGTCCATGCAACAGTCAAGACACAAACATATTTATCAGGTAGTTCTACTAAAAGACTTTTCTTTATTGCTTTGATACTATCTATCACACTCTACTGCCAATGACTGTATTAACAATACATGAATATGAAGAGTAAAACAAGACAATAATGCTTCCTTCAATGTTTAGAATAGGGCACACAAAAGAAAAGCAGTGGAGATAAGAAACTCCTAACAAGAGATTGAATTTGAAGGAGGAGAAACAGCAGCAGCAATAGCAGCACAGGTGGATGGATCTTTATGAGTTCAAAGCCAGCCTGGTCTAAATAGTGAGTTACAGGTCTGCCAGGGCTACACAGTGAGACCCTATTGCACAAAAAGAAAAAAAAGAAAGAAATGGGGCTGGAAAAATGGCACAGTGGTTAAGAATATTTGCTGCTTTTGCAGAGGACCTGAGTTCAACACCATACCAGGTGGCTCACACGACCTATTAACTCTAGTTCCAGGGGGAATCCAACACCTCTAACCTCCACAGGCACTGGCACAAATATGTACATGCCCACTTAGACATACATACACACAACTGAAAATAATAAATACATCTGAAAAGAAAGAATATGTATCATTGATTCTTTGAAGTGGTGTCAAGGACTTGGCATTGCAGCAAGAATGAGAGGTACTGTTGTTAACATATGCACACTGTTGGTCTGGGCAGAGATGCCTCTCTCACAGCCACCACCCAAGGAAAGGGTTGTTACGATATACGAAGATTGGAGGTAGGTGACCCACAAGCAGTAAGTATCCCTTTCCCCTCTCTGGAGCAAAGAGGGCTTTCTTCTTGTTTTGTAGGTTGTTCAGAGGCAGGTGTGAACAGCTCCTTGACACAAAGAGGATGTCAAACCTCACACCCACCTTGGATGATCCCACCCAAGGAACACACCAGGAAAACATCTCCACAAAGGAATGCCAGGTAAATTAAACCAAGCCGTGGATGACTTGGACAGTGGAGACTACAGTGGTCTGATACAGTCACAGAGGTTGGTTTATAGCAGTGTTCACAAGGTGGGTCTTGAAGGTGGACACCGGCAGGCAGACAGATTAATTTTCTTCCTTAGTAGTGTGGTCAAATTGAGCAGATTATATTATACCTTTCCTCAGTTCTCCGATTTCAAATAATTTATGGGGTTAGTAAATGATTAGGCCCTCTTGAGTGGTGGTGGCATACGCCTTTAATCCCAGCTCTTGGGAGGCAGAGGCACGAAGATCAGCTAGGGCTGTTACACAGAAAAACCCTGTTTCAGAGGGGAAAAAAAATTAGGCCCATGGAAAGGAGAGTGAACCAACCAAAAAGAGAAATGAACCAACCACAAGGAGTCATGCAATTGTAGCAACTTTGCAATGTGTGGCTTTGAACTTCCTGGCAGCAGGGACTGTGCCTCGGTTTTCAGTGTCTTCTGAGAAAGACACTGTCCCAGAATGCAGAACCAGAATGTATCTGGAGCTGGAAACAAGTGGTGGAGAAATCAAGGTGGTGGGGAGGTAGGAAGGACTCCAAGATAGGAGGAGTTCCCAAGTCAAGGCTGTCTTCAAAAGTGCCTCCTCTATAAATCATAGGCATAAAGGCAACTTCTTCACGTAACTTGCTTGTGCTCCAGGGCCTGCTTGGGCCCAATCACATATGTACCACTTCCACTTGATAATGGATTGCTGCTTGCAGTCCTACTTTATGACCTGGTGGGTCAGAGAATACCCAGCTCATGTCAGGCAGCTCAGGTTGCATGATAACCTGGTAGCCCCTTGACTTAGTCAGTGTTTCTATTGCTGTGAAGAGACACCATGACCACAGCAACTCTTATAAGGGAAAACATTTAATTAGAGTGGCTCCCTCACAGTTCAGAGGTTCAGTCCATTATCTTCATGGTGGGACATCATGACGTGCAGGCAGATGTGGTGCTGGAGAAGTAGCCGAGAGTCTACATCTTGCAGGCAACAGGAAGTGGTCTTAGACACTGGGAGGTATCTTGAGCATATATGAAACTTCAAAGCCCGCTTCCACTGTGACACACTTCCTCCAACAAGGTCATACAGACCCACCCCAACAAAGCCACATCTTCTAATAGTGCCACTCCCTTTTGGGGCTATTTTCTTTCAAATTACCACACCCACAGTCAAACATTCAGTTTCCACTAAGGCCCAATAACAGGCCAAGAGCTGTCTCTCAAAGGGAGAATAGTTGTCTACAGATGATGGTAGAGCCTCGCTCCAAAATACCAAATGTGCCAAAACAAAACAAAAAACATTGCTATCTGCCACCAATACTTCAATTACCATAGAGTCTGCTGGGTTATACAGCCCAAGAAATAGGGCAGCTTGAGCATACCTTGCACAGTAGCCTGGATCCGTTTAAGAGCTTCCTCCTATTCCAGGCCTCACTCAAAGCTAGCAACTTTCCAAGTCATACCCTAGCAAGGGATGTACTGTCTCCAGAATCAAATAGGCACACTGAACAGTGTACTTCTTCCTTGGTGGTAGGATGGGTCAGGTGCAATAAATTATCCTTCACCCTAGAAGGAATC